AATCGAACTCATGACCTTGCGCTTGCCAGGCAGGTGCTGTGCCACTGGGCTACATCCCCAGCCCCATTAAATGTTGAATAAATGAGTCAAGGACCTGAGTTGGGGTGGGAAATGCAGAAACAAGAGACTTGAAACTGTATGGGTCCAGGAGGGGCTCCTCTGTCATTCAAGCTACTAATATTAAACTGTGACTATAAACTGGACCAGACAAAGGCACTCTAAGTAGATCCACTTAAAACAGGGACCCGAGTTTCATAGGAAATGGTGAAGAAAAGTTTTCACCTGGGATTTTCTTTTTGAAAATGAAAATGAAAGACTTCTAATTTCATATTTCACTGTGACTCTATCAAAATCAAACTTCCTTCTTAGCAGCACAACTGGTTGTCAATTTCCTCCTCTTCTATCATTCACTGGCCTAATTGCCAGGTTCTTGGGCCTCTGTGACATTATGCGGGATTAGAAGGGGTGTCTCACAGCCTTTTCAAGATTCGCTTCTACCATGTAATCCTGTGGCTTTGTACGGTCATCTGCTTATCCTCCTGGACTACCACAGAGAAACCAGCGCTTGTACAGGTTGCGTGATGGGCAGGAATTGACACTGGGCTTGAACAAGGCTAGATGGTTGTGCAAGGACCACTTTTATAAGTGGTCAGTTCATTAATGTTCTTTTGTTATGATGACTTTAAGAAAAGCCCTACACTTCACACCTGTGCAGGCTCAGATATCGATTAGGCAGACTCCCGCATGGAGTTTGAACAAGCGAAGAAGAGACATTATGGTAACCTATAGTGTCTGGTAACCCATATCTACAGGTAGACCCGTCCCTGTACTGCAGCTGTTCCACCCATGACCAGATTTTAGGTTGTGTTGGGACCACCTGTTCCAGTTCCCTGCTCGGTTCTCCATGTCTCCAGAGTGATCCTATGGAAGGAAACTTAGGGGTATCCGGGTCCAGCAGTTCGATCTCCAGTGTGGTAACAGGAAGAGGGGAAAGGTTTTGTACTGAGATCCCCCTAGGACTTTTTGGAACATTCTCAGCCCATCACCTTACTAGCAAAGGAGATGGGACTTGGATCCCTCTAGATGTCAGCGAGGAATTAAGAGGTGAAATTTCAATTCCTTAGGCTTGTTACTTTATCTTTCTGAAGTCCTGATGTCTTCTGTCCCAGGACTGTCAGAAGCCTTCACGAAGCTCAACTCCTTCCTGACAAGTGCAGCTTCCTGGTGATCACCCCAATCTGCCTGTGAACCCCTCCACTCTTACTCTGTGTTCCAGACAAGCCAGAACATTTGCTTTTCCTCAGACACTCAGCGAACCCTAGCTTCCTGCTGAGGCTGGTGCTCATCCTTCATCTCAGCTTTATGTTTCTAAACCTCCCTATGCTCTGGGTCCCTCTAAGTCCCACTTCCTCCATGAAGCCTGTCCTGGTCCTTCCTCTGATCCCCCAGGATAGAGTTTCACTCAGCTGTATTCTGCTCCACTACTTGCCATCCACAGAGTGGTCCTAACATCTCTGTAGAGGGAGTGTGAAGGCCGTTCTCAATGCCGTTTCTTCGTGCACCAAGACTGTAGTACATGATTTAGAGGTACAGAGGTATCATGCCACCATCTCCAGCTTCATTTCCAGTGCAAGGGGTCTGCCGTTTCTCTGTGCTTATTCATCTCCAAGACATGGGACATCCAAGACTCCCTTTTGATATCTGTAAAGTGGGCATTTAACTAAACCTCATGGGAATGGTCCTTAGTGAGGAGACACAGAAGGCAGGGAATACTTTCAGCACTCCCATCCAGCTGCCCCTTCTCTGTCACTTTGGCAGACTCATCCCCAGGGCCAGAACTACAGTGAGACAAGGACCCCAGAGGGAAAAATTCCCAAGGCCCTACCTCGGGTCTTTCTCCTTGGCCAACTCTCTTCCTTCTGCCCAAGGGGTCTACGCTCAGCCTGCTCCAGTGCCTGAGCAGGTGAGTCATGAATGTGTGCCTGTGGCGTGGCCCTTCCCTCTGTGGCTCAGACCTTCTCAGTTCCTTGTGACTTGCCTCATGAGTGGCTCAAAGATCTCAAATCTAAGAGCACTTTTCATGGGCGCAGGTTGACATAAGCTAGGAAAATCGGTTACTATTCCCTCTACCTAATACCACAAACTCCTTGGGAGCTGAGACCCAGTACCCAGCTCTGCCTGGCATCAAATGGCACACAGGAACTGGATGGCTTCATTCCTTTTCCCTTTCCACCTTATCTTTTCTGTTCACTCAAACTGAGGAACTTGGCGCTAGTCAACCAAGACCTCCCAGCCCCACCTGTGCTCACCTCCAGCCACATGTGAAGCCCTTCCCCGCTCCTCCTTGTTTGTCCACAGGAGAGACAGCCATCTGTCACTCCTTCCAAGTCCCCACACTAATACCACCTCCTTCTGGAAGTCTTCGTAGCTCCACTGAGCATCCCTGGTCTCAATCCCCTCTCTCTAAGGAATCCGGGATCCCAGAGTGCTTCCTGTGTCAGCCATACTGCTGGGTGAGCGCCCCAGGAATGCTGGTAGAGAAACATTCCCTGCTGATTTTCCACGAGCAGTCACATTCACCTAAAGGGAGGTAATAGGATGAAAGGGTGTGTGCACCCCGGGTGACGTGGAGCTGTGCTTAGGCCATTGACCCGTAGGACTGTTCCCAGTGTTCTCAGGAATGTCCGTTGACGCTCTTCTTGGCATGGCCAAGCCTCCTTCCTAGTCTATCTGGAGTGGAGATGCCTATGAGGAAGTCTGTGCAGCTTGGCCAGTGGTTACACAGGGCTTTGTAGTTAGAGGAAATGAGCAAGGATGTGCGGAGAGAAACCCAAGCACCCAGTAGAGAGGACAACTTAAACCTGAGTAAGAGCCACAGCTAAGTCCTGATCCAGAGCGTCGGGCACCTCTCCCACTGACCCTCTTCCCCGGTGAGCCTCTTCTCACTGTGGAGCTGGTCTGCCACAGGCCCACAGTCAACATCATCCGTCTGGTGCCGAGAGGCCAGCCAGCTGGGGGAGGGGCATACTGGAAACAGCAGCGGTGAGGGTACAGGGAAGAACAGAGATCTTCCCTCTGGTCCAGGGGGTAGCCAGGTTACTTGGGGGTCCAAGTGGGCACCTCAGCCCCTCTGAAGAGGGCACCTGTGTCGACAGCCTAGTGGGTCCTCTTCCCAACCCAACAATTTTACCAACAGCCTGGTAGCCAATGGCTGGAGCAACATGTGTCTAGAAAACACTCCCTCCAACTGCCACAGTTGTTAGAAGGGGGCAACTTCTGAGATCACCTGGCCTAGCTCTGGGGCTGGTTGTCACACTGCCTGTGAGGCCATGGGGCTCGATTTCCCCAACTCCTGAAGCTTAGGCTGGGGAGGATGCTCAGAGCCTGAATCAGCTTTGGCCTGTCTCATGACAGAAAGGCAGTAGGGTCTGCAAGTCACCCACTAGGGCATGGTGTCCAGCATTCCTTGAGCCCTGGACCATCACCTGGGCCCAGAAGTGGTCTAACACTCTGGAGGTAGATGCTAGCCAAAGTTGGGTGATGGGTGCACTGCTGTCACATGACAGGCCTTGGGGAGCCTACCCAGCAATCTCTGGGTCAGGTTTAACCCACAATCCTCTGCATATGCACAGGCATGTGCACAATATATACATGCATGCTCATTTACACAACTACACTCTGAAATGCCTGTGTCCCAGGGGATAAAGGATATCCTGCATATATACCTCTAAACATGCACACATGCATGTATAGTCACACCGCCATCCCCCTTACCAACTCCCATGGCTTACTTGTACATGTTACTGCCCCCCAGGGTCACCCCTGTACGCACACGTACCTCATACACTCCACATTCGCACATACACAATATGCACATCCACACCTATGCTCAGCCCCCCACTCCCAACCCAGCCAGCCCCATCACCTGGTGCTCTTGAACCCTCCACCTGGGAGGACTGCATTCCCCAGTGCCCTTTGGCCCCTGCCCAGGCCCCATGATCTGGCTGGGTACCTGGTAAAGCCAGGGAATGGGCTTATGTCCCAAAGGGAAAAGTGAGGAAGGGTCCTGCCTGCTGAAAGAGAGAGGGAGAGAGAGAGAGAGAAAGAAAGAGAAAGAGAGACAGAGACAGAGACAGAGACAGAGACAGTGAGACAGAGAGAGACAAAGAGACAGAGAGAGATAAAGGAGTAGGGACAGAACAGACAGGCAAGTGCCTGTTGCTCTTCCTAGCAGGCAGAGGAGGGGAGGAAGGTTCTGGCTCCCGCCCCCCCAAAGCCTGTCTGCTGTGGGCTCCGAGCACCAGGATGGAACTATTGTAGGAGATGTTATGACGGGACCTCCAGCGGGGGCTTGATGTGTCAGCAGACGCCAGCTGCATCCCATGTCTGGTCCCCTCCCCCTGCCACCTCCTGCAGCACGGACCCCTCTGTCCAGAGCCCCCTTACCTGGCAGGAGCCCAGGGACGTGGGCTCAGAGAAGAGTGCACACTTGCCCAGCGGCTTTGAGACAGTCACGCTGGGCACTCAGAGGGCAGTGGGCGTGAGCCAGGCGGCTGGGGATGGGCAGCCTGCAGTGCTCCTGATTGCCCTGAGACAGACTGGAGGTGATGATGGGGCAGGGACGGTGGGAACAGGTGGCAGGGATAGGAGGGAGAGAGAGAGAGAGAGAGAGAGAGAGGAAGAGGAAGGGAGGAAAAAAAGAGAGAGAGAGAGACGCAAAGGGAATCACACACAAAACAGAAATAGACACTCAGAGAAAATGGGTAGCGACAGGAAAAGGGGAGGGGGAGAGAGAGAGAGAGAATAGGACACAGGACTGGAGCAGCAACATGTGGTAGCCTTCTCTCACTTCTAATGCTGAAGCACCCTCAGCCCCTCCCCACAGTGTGAGCACACACACTGACGCTCACAGACACACACTCTCACACAAGGGCACACAAGTCACCATACACACACATGCACAAACCCTGTACTCAGGAGAGCCCAGTGCTGGCCCTTACCTTGCCCCAGAAGCAACATGTGTCTGGCAAACACTCCCTCTATCTGCCGCAGCGGCTGCCTGCCTGTGCCCGGAGCTGCTGGAGAGGGCACCCAGGACCAGGCTCCCGTGCCCAAGCCCAGCGCTCACTGCCCTGGCGGTCAGCTTGATCAATGCCCACATTGCGATGGCTGTTTAGGTGGCCTGCAGGAAGCAGAGCCATTTGTTTTGTCAGAGCGTAACCATGACAATCACCCCATGCGCACACCGCTGGTGCTGCCTCCCCCCACCCCTCGCCCTTTCCTCCTCCTTCTCCCGAGCCCAGGAGGAGGCAGGAGGCCACTTAGCAGCCTTAGCTAACTCCTAACTCCTGCAGAGGCTGACAGAAAGGGCTGATAGAAGGGTCCAGCCTGTGACATCAGGCTTTCAGCAGCCCCTCCCTGAAGAATAGGTTTGTTTCCAGTTGATACAGCCCTGTGCAAGGTCCCTGGGGTCCTGTCCCTGGGAGCTGCCCCCTCCAGATCCCCCTGTTCCCCCAGCAAGTCCACTTTTGAGCCAAGTTATACAAGCTGTCAATCCATTTTCTCCCCAAAGACCATGATGCAATCATGCAGATGGCTTTGATTTGATTTCTGTGGTTCCGGGAAGCTTACCTGCCAAGGCCTTTGGTTACGCCCCAACCCATTACTGGTTGTCCCTGGCCATGCCAAAACCACAAAAGAAATCTCTCAGCTTTTCGGTGCAGTTCCTGGAAGTCTAGCCTCTGGCGTAGAGTTAGGCAACCCAGAGGGCTGGGGACTTGACATGATAAGGATAAATAGCTCTGAAAGCCAAGGGGCCAGCCAGGTGGGACTGAAAATCCTAAATTTGAAGTCTAGAGTTAAAGGATCCAAAGTTGAGAAGATAAGATACCTCAGAGATACAGGCTGGAGCTTAGGACCTCATACCAACACATCTCACTTAATTCTTCTAAAAGCCCCAAGAAAAGGAATTTACCTGGATTTTACAGAAAAACTGTAGTTTAGAGAGGTGGAGTGGTTGCCTGAGATACATAGCTGAGAAAAGACAGAGCCAGGATTCAAACTTGTACCTGTCCGATTCTACCTTGGAAACCTTCCATTTCATCCCACTGGCCTTTCATAGGGGTCAGTATTTGCCACTGACTGCCTGGAAGGCCTGGAGAAAGTACATTCCCACTTGTTCTATGCTGAACACTGGGAGGTAGTTGCTGGACTTGGTTCCCAAATGAGCTCTGAGAGGTGATGTGACTTGCATAAGGACATAGTTCAAGTAGAGAACCAGAATTTAAACCCAGGTCTGTGTGATTCTGCTCCTACGTTACCATATAACAGGCTACATCCAGGGCAGGTAACTTGTTCTGTTTTTAGATTCTCTGTCCAAAGAAGGTGTAGCCTGAAGGTACATTAGGGATGGTAGGTGCTATGGAGTAAGGGAGCAGAGATGTCACATGGAATTCGGGAACTCCTTTCTGGGTTAACAGATGACACATGATCTCTGTAGCCAGAAGGCTATAGACCAGTGATTCCACGATTAGGGAGCTGCACTTGGATTCCCAAAGAGTTTAAGGCTCCCTTACCCAGACCTTCATTAAACACATAACCTGAGGCTCCAGGTTTTATCCATCTTTGCAGGTATCAGACAGCTGAGTGGGGTATCCCAGCAAAGGAACTTTGGGATTTGAGGGGCTGTTGGGCAAAGAGAATGGAGCAGGTGGAGAAGAAGGAGCTAAGTATGGGACAAGAACTTCTCACAGTTGGCTGTTTTGCCTGGATTATTTCTGAGTGCCTGCTGGGGTATGAGATCAGCTGTCAGAGACAGAATGGAAAGCTGCACTTAGCCTCTGAGGACTGACAAAGATACAAGGCAAAGTTCACTTCCGTTCACCCACCTGATATGAGCCAAGCTTGGAGGACGTGACAAGGAGCAGGAGGATACAGACTTCCAGGAACTTGGCAAAGGGGGAGTGGACAAAGAAGCTAGGAGCTTCCAGACCAGCTTCTGTTCCACCTGAGTTCCCTGATGCCTTTCACATGCATTACTGTATTCAACCCTCCTCGCCACCCTGGGTAGATATTAGATATAAGCAGGAGACAGGATTGAGGCTGAAAGGTGGAACTCACCTGAGGTCACGGTCAAGGAGTGGCTGTGCTGGGATGCAAACCCAGTCCCATTTGACTCCCAGGTCCAATGCCCATGCAATAAGCCTATGCTGCCTCGCACGACCTGGAGTGTGGCTATGACCCACTGTTCCTTTCCCTGCAAGTGTGGAGCCAGGGCTTAGGGACACAGCTGCTTAGAATTCTAGGTACCCTCTGCCCCACAAAGCTCCCCAAACCTAATTCTCAGCCCCTGTGAAGGTCAAGATCTCTGTCTGCTAATAAGCCCTTCGTTCAGGTACCACATTGACTGATCATCTCTTCTACTCAGTTATCCTAAGCCTAGAATTTGCATTTTAGGACCAAAACCGTCTGGAAGAAGAATGTTGCCTGGCTGAGTGGCTACAAAGCCACGATGAGGCTGTGAGAGGTGACGAGAGACAGCAGATGTGAGCTGGGCAGGGACAGAAAGCCAGTAGCCTGGGCTTATTTTCCAGAGCTGCCTCCTCTTGAGGGCACTAAGATTTCCATACCCCATTGAATGTGTTTCCTGGGGCTACCAGAACCAATGACCACAGCCTGGGTGGCTCAGAACAATAGACATTTATTCTCTCATACTTATGGAGATGAGAAGTCTGAAATTGAGGCGTCAGCAGGGCTGTGCTCTCCTCTGAAGCCTCTACAGAAGAACCCATGTTTGGTTCTCCATCTGCTGGCAGTCCAGTCCTTGCCATTCCTTGACTTGGGGCTGGATCACTCCAATTCTCTTACAAAGGTGCTGGTCAGGACCCCCCCTAGCAGCATAACTTCATTTTAACCACATGATATCTGCAAAGGCCCTGTTGACAAGGACGGTCACAGTCACATGTGCCAAGGTTTGTGATGGGAACATCCCTGCTCAAGGGGACAACATTCGGCCCATGACATCTGCTCAGAGGAAATAAGGGCATGGGATAGGTCTGACACCAAGAAACCAGGTTGCTGGACTTCCAGAAATTCAGAGAGAGCAGGAAAGGAAGAGATAGCAAATTATGGTGTTTACGGTGAACTCTGATGCTGGAGTGCTTGGGTTCAAATCCTGACTCTCATTGCCTTGCTGTGCCTTCAGGAAAACAACTTAAAACTCTCTGGGCCTCTGTAAAGCAGTAATCCCTTGAAACACGGTCATAATCATGAAATGAGTTAATACTTGCACAGCACTTAAGAAATCAGGGCAGTTAGTAAGCGCCATATGAGGGTTTGTTAAAATAAACATAAACGTTCCCTAAACCAAAGCTCCTGTTTTCTAGGTGTGAAAGCTGAGATCCAGAAAGGGGAGGAGACTTCCTGCAGTCACCTAAGCAGTTCCTGCAGCCTTCCTCTCAGGGGTGTCCTCCTGAGAGATTAAGGAGAGATTAAGGAGAGATTAAGTCTCCTTCCTGTTTATTCTGTAGCTGGAGAAATCAAGCTAGATTGTGTGCAGGGGCAGCAAGTGAGGAGGAGGTGGGTGCAGAGGGGAAACGGGGATCCCGGAAGACAGAAGTGGTAGATTCCTCCCACCTCCAGACACATACCTCTCTCCCCACCCACCCTTCTGTTTGCAAAATTGGGAGCAGTTGTGCGACTGTCTGCCAACGCAGAGGAAAACAAATCTCTGGAGAGAGTAACTGATGCAGGCTGAGAGAGAATCAAGCGCTAGTCCCCAGGGATGCAACCTGCAGGCCAGGTCAGGGCAGGGCTGGTGGAGAGGTCCAGGGGATCTGGATGGAGTTTGGGGACCTGGGACAGGTTTCTTCTCGGGACAGACCTTGCGCCCAAGGGGACTCCTGTCTCCGGCTTGGTGCCAGCAGGGGATGGAGCCAGCTGAACAGGCTGTGGGGCTTAGAGGGGCACAGGTGCAAGCTTTGGAGGCAGTTGGGTTGAAAAACATCACATTCTTGGCAAAAAATTTTTTTTCTGCTGAACTCCTTTTCTCTCTATGCCCCCTGTTCCAGTTCCTCATCTGGAGCAGGAAATTGCACCAAAAGCCTCAATTCTTCACGCTTCCCTGTATCTGTGTCCTTTGCCATGTGACTTAGCACTTTTTTCTCTAAAAAGCTGAAGAATAGCTCCTGCTCCTTCACCTTGGGTTCAGCCACATGACTTAACCAATGCACGTGTGACGGAACTAAAGATTTATAAAGTGCTTGCTTGATTGTGCTTGCTCTGCCTCTGGCCCTGTTGTTATGAGAATATGTCTTTTTTTTTGGTACTAGGAATGAGAATACGTCTTGATTGGCCTCGAAGTCCCCAGCAGAAGGATAAGAGAAATGCAGAGTGGGACCAAACTGCCCCAGTCAACCCCTCTGGCGGTCAGTCAGTCAACTTTAGATGCCTGAGCAAGTCCAGCCTAGCCCAGCCCGCTAAGTCACTGGAGCCCAGGCAAGATCAACCAATGCAGAGCTGATCAGAGGTCTGTAAGAAGGAACAGTTATGGTTTGAAGTCACTGAGTTCGGAGAGGCTTGGTGGGCAGCATTTTCTAGCAATAGCTCAGGGATACGCCGTCTCTTATAGACTTGACTTTCCTAACGCCCTTTGGGTTCATCTTCCTCTCCATCCCCAGGCCTTAGTCCTGGCTCCTTAGACCTTCCTATCTGATCTCCCGCCTAGTGTCAGGGATGCCAGTCCGTTCCCCAAGCGACAGCCCCATCTTTGTAATATCTGATGACTGTCTCCACTTGTCACCCCCTTCAACCCAACCCAAATCCTCCAATGGCTTCCCCTTGGATTGCTGTACAAAATTCTATTTTTTTCTTTTTTTATGGTACTAGGGATTGAAATTGGGGAGCACAGAGGTACATCCTCAGCCCTTATTTTCTTTCTTTTCTTTTCTTTTAATTTTGAGATAAGTTCTTGATAAATTGCCCAGACCAGCCTCCAATTTGTAATCCTCCTGCCTCAGCTTTCCAAGTAGCTGGGACCACAGATGTGCACCACTGCACCCCGATGCATAGCTCTACTTCTTAGTATAGCACTCAAGGCCCTTTATGATCTACCCTGTCCTCTCTCTGGCCCTTTCCCTGCCCAGCTCCCCCACATGGACCCTTCACTCCAATCACTTAGAACTACTTGGAATTCCCTGGACTTCAAGTTGTCTCCTGTTTCTGGGATTTTACACGTGTTGATCCC